ATGTGAAAAAATAATCCAGAAATAGCTTGACAAATCACCGCAAACCGCGCTTCAATATCTACATCCGGTACCTTGTAGCAGCCGAAGTTCGACTATAAAATACCTGCAAATATGAGTAAAAATCGGGGACTTTGCCCCCCCATATTTCAAAAACGGTGCGTATACTCAATCTGAAATTTTATTATGTGTAAAGGGTCACCCTATAGATGAAAAAAAACCTCACACCGACCCCAATTTCGAGGGCCCGAAAACGGGCGAATTTTAGCCCTTTTTGTGCAAGGCTCTTTTTGAAACATTGGGAACGCTATATACCCCTACCGGAAATGGAGATGTTGCATGTGTGAGGGATTTGCGATTTATGACCATTGATTCTTGTGTAAAAGTTTGCGAGAAACACGATGGTGCCACTGGTTTTCTCTGAAATCATCTCCCAAGCTCAAAAAAAGCTCTCAAGTTGAGGCCAAAATGGAGGGGGTATTTCACCCTATCCTGAGAGTCCACCTCTACATCAAAACAAACTCTCCATGCAAAGATAGGGAGCAGATACATTAGCAGGGTTGCCGTGTTTTCAGTTTTGGAGTCCCCAAATAAAGTGGCAACCCTGCTAATGTATTTGCTCCCTATCTATGTATGGAGAGTTTGTTTTGATGTAGAGGTGGATTCTCAGGGTAGGGTGGGATATCCCATCCATTTTGGCTTCACTTTGAGAGTTTATTTTGAGCTTAGGAGATGATTTCAGAGAAAACCAGTGGCACCATCGTGTTTCTCGCGAACTTTTACAAAGGTAAGAATCAATGGTCAAATCGTAAATCCCTCACACATGCAACATCTTCATTTGGCCCCTGCAAACAGCTTTTGGGTACATTTTTGTCGCATTTTTCTTCTGCTTCAAGAGCATTGTGGTGTAGGCGCTTCATCGGTCTTCGAAGAATGAAAATGTGTAGCGCGATATATTTTATTCTGCATTTAAACTTAGTTTATGTTAAGAGGTTTTTCGAGAACCCTTCATAAAAATCCCATAAAATACAACTCTCTATTGCTTACAATATTAATTAGAGCTACAATGTTTTTCACCGTGAATTATACACTTGTTTTCAATTCGCCTTCAGCTGCGTCCGCAGCAATTGTTGTTACGAATATGTTGTGCGTGCTGATTTTAGTTCATTGCATAGTTGACTCTCTGAAGGCGTTTTATGTACGGAAGTAGAGCACCCTGTGAAAAGAGGAGGGTTTGAACGAATCGCTCGATCCCTCCTTCGTCCGTTCTCCGACAGATTGCGCTACTTGCGCACAGTAATGAGCTGTAATCCGCACGCACGATACATCCGCAACAACAATTGTTGCAGACGCAGCAGAGGGCGAATTTTTCAGTTAAAAATAAAGAGTGTGATAGGAAGTCTGCGTGTAACGAGAGGGTTTGTATACGATCAACATGGATCGAACGGAAAATAAAAACGCGAACCGATCAACATAGATTCAATGGACAAATAAATGAAAAAACTATTCATAATCAGAAGAAAACTTCACTGGTAAAAACAACCTTTTGGACCAATGCCACGGTGCATTGACTTAAGAGTGCAGTTTTTTGTCGCCGGATTTAAGAGTCTTGAACTGTTGTTTCAAGCGGATTTTGCATTGAAACAAGAGTCCAGACTCTTAAATCCGGCGACAAGAGAAACTGCACTCTTGAACCAAGAGGTTTTTTTTTTNTTTTTTTTTTTTTTTTTTTTTTTTTTTTTTTTTTTTTTTTTTACCAGTGTTGCATTTACATTATGCTTATTCAAAATAAGTACTAACCTCGTCTGGCTCACGACATGTTGTAAGTTGAAGAGAGCTAACCAAAAAAAGCAAAGCAGGCATTTTTGAGTGGTCCGCGACGGGACTTCTGTGACAGGAAAGATAATACTCTAGCCAGGACAGTTTTTTCAAGAGCCTTGGACCGTAAAGTCCACAGCAAAGAAGCAGCTCGCGTAAAAAATTCAAAGCCACAAGAAAAAGATTCCTTTAATGCGCGATAAAGTAACTGCGTATCTAAATTTTTGTTTCAATTTACATTAAATAGCACGTTTCGCTCGGTTCGGTATAAATTCTCGTCAGCTGACTTAGAAATTGTTGAGAGGACCGACAGGTACGGGGTGATCCAAAAAAGCCGCACCGATTTTTTCGACAGCCCCTCTTCTTCATAACTTTTATTCTAACGAGAATATATTTCAGATAGGTTTTTACGTAACGCTCCAGGGGAGGTGTGATTTGGTGGGACCGTTATGGTGTCATGTAATTTCGTTGTTACGTACAATTGAAAGATACGGGGAGCTACGTTATGGAAGCGTTACCTTAAAGGATCAGAAACAGTGTTCGAAACTCACAGGCGCCAGCGCGCCAAATGCGCCTAAGAAATCGGTCATGGCGCCTGAAAAATGATGGTTCTGCGCCAACGTGGCCCCTAAAAATTGCACCCTAGAAATCTGGATTTTCACAGGAAGTCACATAAAGAAGAAAAACAAATCTATTTGAATTGAAAAAAACTCGGAATTTTCAGTACTACAAGTGAAAGCTTACTTTTTCTATTCCTCACGATTTCATTCTTAGTGCTTTTGTCCTCCCCAAGTTACAGCTACTTACTAGTTCTGTTACGAAAATTGCCCCTCCCCCCCCCCCAAAAAAATAAAATCCTAATTATTCTGTTTGGTGATATTTCGAAAATACCCCCAAGTTACGGTTACTAGCTCTGTGACTAAAACATATTGCGTTTGACTTCTCACTAAATGCACAGTGATAGATAAGCAAAAAGTCAATCTGGCAATTAAAAATCTTCAATTGCCCCTAAAAATCGAGCTTTTTGCGCCACATGGCTCCTGAAACTCAAAGGTAAGTTCCGAACACTGATCAGAAATGCCTAAAAAGTGCGTTAAGTGATTCATGAACACTCCAAGGAATGAGACGGAGTCCTCCAACACCACGATCAAAGAAACATTAATCACCACAAAAGGGCACCACTGTCTGGAATTAATCCTTATAACGGATAATTTATGCAAGGAATACTTTCCGTCCTGTTTACTTAGCTACCCCCGCACGAGTGGTCAAGGCACCCGAGAGAGTGACAGTCAGTGGCGAACATTGCGATATATTGATTGATCTGCCGCTTAAACCCATGGAAAAGGATCGAAAAACAGATTTTTTGCAACAAGCACCTTAATGATCGATCTTTCATCATACCTTCAAATGGGGAAATATCGATAATCGATCATTCACACCTCGCCGTGCTTTGCGATAAGTCAATTGATCTGCCTTTCAAACCTATGGAAAAGGATCGATTATCAAGGTGTCCGCGACGGACACCTTACGAATCGATTCTTTACCATTGCATCAAATGAGAAAATATCGATAACTGATAATTCACGCTTCGTCACCCTGAGCGGCCTTACTTTCGGGCCATTGTTGCCGAATGGTGCAGAAAAATCAGTACTTCTCTCATTTAAAACCCACGTATAATATTCACATTTAATCGCGACACCTGGCAACCTTGTTCCGGGCTCTCACATTCGCAACACAGTCTCCCAATCGAAGCTTTCAAACCCTATATGCCTCGCATTGCCGCTGAAAAGGAATAAGAATTTCATTTCTGATTCGATACTGAATTTTGTAAAAAACAACTACAACATTGACAACATTTCTCATTTTCTCTCTTAGTCTACAGGATCCACTCATTTCAACCTATAGGATCGCTCCATTATACTCCTTATGTCTCAAGCTTTGTCTATCAATTTCAATAATCGGCCCGACCTGTGGGAATGCGGACGCCTTGGCTGAAACGACGACCACCAGTGGCCGGCGTGGAGTGCTTTGCGATACATCGATTGATCTGCCACTTACACCTATGAAAAAGTATCGATAAGCCGGGTGTTCGCGACGAGCACCTTAATGATCGATTCTTTACCACAGCTTCAAACGGAGAAATATCGAAAATCGATTTCGAAGGGGACAAGACACGATAGGCAGACACGTGTGAGTGCGTTAACGCTCCAGGGCGTGTGCGAGTACACAAGTATGCGCTCCGAGTTACAATTGATGCGGAGTGGTTATCCAACCATGCTCCACGCTCCTCGCCGGATTGAAAATATTAAAAACGACCCGGTCGTGGGGGAAGGGGGGGCTCGCTTTTCGAACAGGAACGGCAATGGACCGGGCTTGCACATAGTTGCCGGTGAAATAAAACAAAGTAAAGAAACGGTTGGGAAATTTGTCGTTTTCCACACTGGAAAAGAAAGTCTCGTGGATCTGCAGTCCAGGTTCTTAAAAAAATTGACAAGAAAAAATACTCTTGATGCGAGCGGAATTTTGCTTGAATCGAGAGCTGGGGTTCTTAATCCATGCGGATTTCCTTTTAATTCAAGCAAAAAACTGATTGAATCAGGAGTATTTTTTCTTGTCAAATTTTTCAAGAGTCTGGACTCTAGATCCAAGCGACTTTTTTTTTCCAGTGCATATGACACGAAGGTCATTTGGGCAGTGGCGAAGCGTGATGATCGATTAGCGATATTTCCTCTTTTGAAGCTATGGTAAAGTAACGATCTTAAGGGTATTCGATGAAAACACCCTGTTTATCGATTATTAATTTTTCATCGGTTTAAATGGCAAATCAATCTATACATCGCAAAGCACGCCGCGCCACTGCGTTTGGGTACATAAGAAGAGCAAGCGCTCTCCCACCTCCAATCTTCATTTTAACCTTAACATCATAAGGGTGAATTCGGTTGGATTTTGATCAATTTTAGAACATCCGCGGAACTTTTGGGAACGGTATTTCTTCTTAATGAAATATTTTGTGTATTTCGAACAACTTTGTCCCCCCCCCCCCACGAATTCCCTGAATTTTCCCAATCGCCGCGCAGACTCCCTGAGTTTCCCTCATTTTCCGGATCGTCGCACAGTGGATTGAGTCGATCAGAGAGGTCGGGCAGGACAATTTTGACTGAAACTGCAAATTTTGATGTTTAACTAGCCACATTTTAAATTTTAAGGGGTGCATCCCGAAGAAAATTCCACGAGGAACTCAATGGAACCACCTTTAAAACCCTAAAGTTTTGCATGAACGGAGTGATGAGCATTCATAGTTTCCAAATTTTGTCCGACCTTCCCCATTGACTCGATCCATTGTACGTCAGCAACCCTGTGAAACTGATCAGTACCTTGAAGAGAGAAGTAATGGATTTTTCAGTTAATTTTGCAATCTGGAAGAAATACGGTTCTCCGTCCACGAAGTTATAATGGAGAATTTTGAGTGCGATGTGGCAGCAAAGTACGTGGTGGAAATAAAACGGGGACTTTCCATATTCCTTGTCGGTCCTTGCTCAATGTTCCGCGAGCGCCCGCCCAATTGTTTGCCGGGAAGACCTCGCGCGGATTAAGTCAGAGCAACCGCTGTTGCCAAAAAAATTGAAACCCCTAGCAATATTCTGCCGTGCTAAGGATAGAACGCCGTATGAACATTCGAGAGTTGCCAAATTTCCTTCGATAAAATGTTTGTTTTTGAGGAATGTTTTGAATATTTTTCCTTGCAATTTTCAGGAACTTTAGATCAAAGTTCGAACAAAATTCTCTAGGAAATTGGTAGAAAAATATTCATAAGTTTACCAGGGAATTTGTGTTTTATCATAGAAAATTTGGCAGCGCCTGAAGGTTCATAAGGCGTTCTTCCATAGCACGGCAGTATTAAGGACAATTTTGAACTACTTTGCTACCGTCATAGCGAAGAGAGGCGTAACTCTCAAATTTTCGAAATGGAGTTTCCTTCAAAATTCGTCTAAAGGGCCGTCCACAAATTACGTCATCCATTTTTATCAATTTTTCGACCCCTCCCTCACCGGATCAAACCGTTATCCACCGCTAGACCCCCCCTAAAAATTACGCCATCCATAGCCCCCCCCCCCTTTTCGGGGTAAAACGCAGAAAATCGATGAAAATTAGTAGATATAGTAAGCAGCGTTCAGAGATTCAGTTTTATTTTAAAGACGAATCGTTGTGTTATGACGAAAAAATTTCATTGATTTTTTCATGGCACTTAGGCCAGTACTGTCATGCTAAGGAAAAATGTCGTATGAAGATTGGAGAATAGACAAATTTTCTTCGATAAAATGTTCATTTTTGAGGAAAGTTATCAGTACCTATTTTTCCGAAATAATTTTCAAGATCTTTAGGTAAAATTGCGAACAAAATTTATTGAAAAATTGGAAGAAAAGTATTTGCAAATTTTCGCGAAAATCGTGATTTACGGAAGGAAATGTGGCAACGCCTAAAGGTTCATACGGCGTTCTTCCTTAGCACGGCAGGGAAGAGAGTTTCTTAAAAATGGTAGCCGCTGACGCTGAGGTAAGTTTACACATCGTAATAAAAATGAGATAACAACGCGTTTCCAATATGTGAGTAATAAGTGACAATACGCCTTTTCTAAGGAATGTTTCGGTCATTGCAACGAACGAGACACGCGTTGTAGTTGTAAGGCGACGTCAATGACAACGCCTGCAGAATGCAACTATTCGTGCTCTATGACTATGCGTGACGCATAAGCAAAAATTGAAGGCGCATTCGCATTCTCGTTGGCAGTCACGGATTGTAAGCACGGGCGACTGCGCGCATTGTTGCTCAATGGCGAACATGGAACAATGTAAGATCATCGCGACGTCTTATAGTCTCGTCGTGTTTTATCACTTATTCCATGCTTATTTTTTCGTAGAATAGAACTAATAGTCATTATTATTTAGGAGATTCAAAGCGTATTCCTTAAACATGAGATGAAGAAAAACCGGTAAAATTATTAAAGAGGACTATGTTCCTTGCTTTATTTTAGAAGAAATAAAATGGGATGAATAGGAAAAATGAAACAAATCTATAACGTTTATGATACGTGTTTTTCAAGATGGCTGCCACATCACCGGCTGAAAATGACACTTTAAATAGCCGCTAACTACTTCGATAAACCAATTCAAAATTGTTTTTTCTTTGAAAATAAGGCAGGTTAACCTACTTACCTGTATTGATTTTTCAAAAGTCGAATGCGTGGAACGT